GGGGGGGGGGGCTGTCAAGGGGTGTAGACTCTGACAGGGCTTGTTCCTTACAAGGACACAAGGATCTTCTTTCTCAGACCCCAAATGCCACCTCAGAGGGGGAACACCAGGCTGGGGGACATGTACTTGGCAGAAGAGGTATAAGGAGTACAGCATACCACAAAGGACATGTACCTAGGATCCTAAAGGGTTCCATTCTGGTTGTGCTACTAACCTGCTAGATCCCAGCTGTCACTTCACTGTTCTGGGCCTTGATTCTCACCCGAAATGAGCATTTGGGGCTATACAACCTGGAGGTCCCCTCTACCTGCCATTTGTGGGCTTCCAGCTGCAGAGCTCTTCTTACCACAGAAGGCACTGCCTTCATCTTGTGGCCTCAGCTTGTTTTTATCGTGGCAGGGCACTACCCCTAGGGGAGACTCCAAAGACCCCCTTCCCAGGGGGCTTCTGGGCCCTGTGCTCACTGTGTACTCCCTATCAAGGCCAGTGAAGAAAACAGTGGCACACAGGCTGCCCCAAGTCTATCTGACAAGCCACAACTATTGTCTGAGGGAACCAGAAAGTCCTGTCTCAGGCCGGCCCTCTTTTTGAGGCCTCCCAGTTCAGCCAGCTCCTCCCCTCTGGGGCCTGGCAGCTCTGGCATGGATTGGCATGGTCTCCACCTCCTCCTCCTCCCTGTTCTCCACTTTGAAGCCTTGGCTCCACCCCAGCTCTGGCTCTTCGGATTGGTGCTCTAGCCAGCTGCTGTCGGGGGGGCTGGGCTGACCCTTCCAGAGGATCCCAGCTGGCCCCATGACTCACCGGGGGTTCTGCTGGGTCCATCTGGCTTTTTCCCTGCTTCTACTATCAAGCCACCAACACTAGAAAGTTTTCTTAGATGAGAACAGGGAGTTCCTAGGCTGCTCTGTCATACCACTGATGCTCAGCAGTGACTTTGGGTATCTAACTAATCCGCCTCCTTTCTTATGGCCAAGAAATTGCACAGGGAGGAGAAGGCCATGGACAAAAAGCTGCTGTGAAGGCAGGAGGGCCAGTAACTAGGCTGCTGGGGATGGCCTGTGGGCAGTGAGTGACATGCATGATCTAGAGAGAAACTGGGAGGGCCTCCCCTCCTTGGAGACAGACAGCCTGAAAGAGGGTAAGGGATGAGCATTCATGACTGCTTTGCTTATCTCCCATTGCAGGTCCCAGCAGCTGGGGTTTCCCCTCAGCCTTTGAGAGGCCATGTCCAACCCCACTGCCCCCCCTCCATATGAGGACCGCAACCCCCTGTACCCTGGCCCTCCGCCCCCTGGGGGCTATGGACAGCCATCTGTCCATCCTGGTGGGTACCCTGCCTACCCTGCCTACCCACAGCCTGGTTACGGTCACCCTGCTGGCTACCCACAGCCTATGCCCCCCATCCACCCGATGCCCATGAACTATGGTGAGTACTGGAAAGGGGGGTAGGTGGGAGGCGACAGTGCTTAGGGTTGATGAAGTTACCTCCTTTCCTTCCCTTTCTTCTCTGGTCCTTTTTCCTCTTCTTGTTTTAGCTCTCCCCTTCCTTTTCCCTCACTCCTCTCTGCTTCTCTTAGTTCCTGGCCTCTCCAGCCACTTGCTAGCCTCTGTATTCAGCAAGGAGACTGAGGCTTTCAAGTGGATACCCAAAGAACTGTTTCTGTTTCTGCATAAGGCCACTGCCACCCTGCCCAGGCCCATGTCTTGCTTAGGAACTCCCTTGATTCCTAAGCACTTTGTTGTTGTTTTTATTATCTTAGGGCTGGCACATTATCATCCTTTAGGTAAAGTATGATTTTTGCAAATATCCCAAAGTTATTTGGAATGACCTTTGGTAAACACCATGGCAGGTCAGAAATAGGTGAGATGGGGATGCAGTGAGCCTCTTTTCCGGGGGATGGAACCTAGGACTGTACATGCTAAGCGCATGTTCTACTTCTGAGTTGCAGCCCAGTCCCTCCTGGGTAGATTTTGAAGGCAGTTCCCAAAGAGGCATCTGTGGGATGTGGGAGGTCTGCAGTAGCTCTAGCATTCTGGAATATATGTATGGCCAGCTCTCACCTGGACATGCATGTTCTGGTGCAGATCATAACATATCATTCACAGGTGACAGTTGTGCATGCCCTGGCAGGCCTGTAGTAGACCCCAGCCCTTACCCTGTGCCCCCTGCACACACCTGCACTGTGCAGTTCCCCCCTCCTTTCCTCTGCCCTCCGTCGTGGAACCCTCTGGTCTGCCAGCCATCCTCACTGCTGCCTGGCTTCCTCTTTAGATGGTGACACCGCCACCTAGCACTCAGAGTTCTCAGCAGATGCATGCTGATGGGATGACTCTTATCTATGCCCTCTTGTGCCAGGCCAGCTGGGCTCACTCTGAGAGCGTCTAGAGAGGAGCTTGGAGAGGAGTCCTTGTGCTGTAATACTTGTCTTTGGGCTGGAGATACCTGAGCCCATGAGGCAGTGTCATTGAGGCTTTGGGATGTGTCCCAGGTCCCCAGTTGTTCTTATGTGATATGTCTCTAGGCCCAGGCCAAGGCTATGATGGAGAGGAGAGAGCAGTGAGTGACACCTTTGGGCCTGGAGAGTGGGATGACCGGAAAGTCCGACACACCTTCATCCGAAAGGTGAGATGGGTGGGAGGCAGATGGACTGGAGTCCTCTAGTTGCGGGGGGAATGGGAGAGGGCTGGCCATATTGGTCCTAACATGGGGACACAGTCCCATGTAAGTACACTGGTTGTCTATGTTCCCTCTAGCTCTGCATCCTCCATGGGATTCCCCAGCTCCTTTATCTCCAGCGCCCCACTCCTTTCCATACTTTCTTTCTTAACCTAGTCTAGTCTGCCTAGACTTTGCCCAGTGCAGGGCCCTTCCCAGACATTGTTCTCCTGCAAGACAGGAAGCAGCTGGGAGCTGGAAATGGTAATCCTCACTCCTAACCTGCTCTACCCCTCTCCTGTGTGCTTGGTACCCCACTCAGGACGGATAGATACTCAGTCGTATCACACTGAACTGCTGGAGGTACACAGCCATCATTGGAGGTTCAGGGACAACCAGGCAGGATGAGGTGGAGATAAACTGAGGCTGTATGCTGGACAGCAGGGTAGATGCCAAGGAGCAGTTGGAGGGGAATGGAGGAAGCAGTGATCAAGGCTCCTGAGTGGGGTCACTTCTAGGCCAGGCTGCAGCCTGGGAGAAATCTTTGAGGATTCAAAGAGTAGAACCTTCAAAATGAAAAATAAGCCCCCCTTCTATCACTGAAAAGACAGGGATCGGTAGGAGTCCTATGTCCTTTAGGCTCCTTGGTCTTGGGCTGGCTGCTTTCTAGGGAGAGGCCAGCATTTGGGATGTGAGGATGTGACCTGTGCTCCTGCCCATCTGTGTTCCAGGTCTACACCATCATCTCTGTCCAGCTGCTCATCACAGTGGCCATTATCGCTATCTTTACCTTTGTGTGAGTCTCTGGGGCTCCTGACCACTCTTCCCAGACCTGGGATCTCTGGGTTACTTACTGGGCTGTTTGGAAGGCCTTGGCCACGGGGCAGAGTAACCATGGTGTGACTCCTCTCTTGTCTTCCCTTACTCCACAGGGAACCAGTCAGCGCATTTGTGAGGAGGAACGTGGCTGTGTACTATGTGTCCTAGTAAGTGTGTGCCGTCTTTGCTGGGGGTGAAGGAGGGAGGAGAGGACAAGAAAGGCTGGCAGTCCCAGTGTCCAGCTGACCAGCTTTGCTCAGGGTGGGGATCAACATGCATGCTCTCTGAGAGGCCTTCCCAGTGGCTGGTGCCAGGCTCCTGGGCTGGGAAGTATGGGAGATGTACCCAGATGAGGAGTAACAGGATCACAGGATCACAGAATGCTGGGCGGGGTGGATGTCAATGAATGGCATTTCCTGGATCCTCTTAGTCGATCTCTGCAACCTCCCTAACCTGGCTAAACCCTTGCATTACAGAGTTTCTCAGGGTCCATGGCTGAAGAGTGGGAGGTGGGTGGACTGGAGTCCTCAGGCTGGGGGAATGGGGGAGAGATGAAGAGTATCCTTGCATCCTACTGTGGAGCTTGCCCCCAGACTTCTGAGCAGCCACTGGGGCTCTAGTCCCAGGCTGCTGGGAGTTGCCAGGCTGGCCAGAAGGGACTGAGGGCAGCTCTGAGTCTGTACGCTTTGTCCCATCTCTCTCCCTCCAGTGCTGTCTTCATTGTCACCTACTTGACCCTTGCCTGCTGCCAGGGACCCAGGTGAGTCTCAGACCATGAGGAGGGCAGGGGGAGAGATAGGGACCAACTATTTTGGGAAGAAAGGGACTCCTTATAGTGGTTGAATGGAGACTTACAAAAAAATACTTGTAAGGATGGTGACAACAACAATGATGGCTTCTGTTCAGGTATGTACAAAGTACTGAGTGTGAGATCTATTTGTCTATCTAATCTATCTTTATCTATCTATCTATCTATCTATCTATCTATCTATCTATCTATCTATCTAATCTATCTTTCTTATAGCAACCCAGTAAGATATGTAACATTTTAACCATTTAACAGATAGAAAAGAAAAAAGAAAAAAGGTTTAAAAAAAGGAGGGAGGGGGAGAAGAAAAAAAAAATAGCCAAACAGGAAGAACTCAAGGCTCAAAGAGATTGAACAACTTTCTCACAGATAGTCAGTATAAGAGCTACAAATAAGTCCAGGTGTTTCTGGCACCACGGAGCAGGTCTGTCTCATGTTGTCCTTGTGTAAACATCTGAGCAGGTGCCAAAAGCCATGTGAGTGTCCCTTCCCCAAGAGTAAGGCTTATTCTTACAGGCATAGGCGCCTAATACCTGGCCACCACCCTAAGGCACGTAACCAAGGTTTCTCTTTCCCCTCAGACGCCGGTTCCCATGGAACATCATCCTGTTGACTCTTTTTGTAAGTCTACAAGGTTAATGGGAGGGCTGTCCAGGGAAGGGCTAGGGACATCATTGTGGAAGGATGTCTCTGGTGTTGCCCTACCTAACCTGCCCCCTGCTCTTGGTCTCCTCTGTGGCTGCTCTTTTCAATGCAGTCTTATTTACCCCTTGCTCTGGCAGGCTACTGTAGCCGTCCCCACGGCCCTGCCGTTCTTGTTTTATTTTTTATTTTTATTTGTGGTCCTGGGGATGGAACCCAGGGCCTGGTGCATGCTGGCCAAGCACTTTACCACCTAGCCCTGCAGTTCTTAAGTGTTTTCTTGTTTCTCTTTCCCTCAGACTTTTGCCATGGGCTTCATGACAGGCACCATTTCCAGGTATATTCAGGGACAATCCACCACACACTTGGGAGGGTGTGTTGAGAGGCAGTGGGCTGTTCCTGGCCTGGCAGTCATCTATGGGAGTGGATTCTGGGCAGGAAGTGATATTTGAAGTCATTTTTATGTGGCTTTTGTCTCTGGCTTCTCTCAACTCTTTCTCCCCCAGTATGTATCAAACCAAAGCTGTCATCCTTGCAATGATCATCACTGCTGTGGTGTCCATTTCTGTCACCATCTTCTGCTTTCAGACGAAGGTGAGGATATGGAGGGTCCTTCCCTGACCACCCACTCCCTTTCTTATACACATCTGGCCCTTTGGGTTTGGCACTTGAGCAGGCCTGGGAGAGCCCAGACCCCTGAAAACCAGGGCTTTCCCTGGGAGACTTAATCCTTATCTGTACTTGCAAAGCTGCTTCCTGTGTCTGTCTTTAGCATGTTATGGCCACTGCCATGACCCCAGGAGGCAGCTCTGGGTCTTCCTGGTGAGGGGCAGGGCCAGTGTGGCTGGGCTGCCAGTTAAGGCAGTCATCTGACAGGTGCCTCCTTCTCCCTTCCTGGTAGGTGGACTTCACCTCGTGTACAGGCCTATTCTGTGTCCTGGGAATTGTGCTGATGGTGACTGGGATTGTCACTAGCATTGTGCTGTACTTCAAATATGTGAGTGTCCCATGAAGCTTGGAACCAGTGAACCCAGTGCTCATTACAGATTGCAGACTTCCTATATAAGAAGGTGCAGCAAGGTCCCTCCTGGGCCCATGGCCCCTGGGGCAGGATGTGACATCCAGAGCCTGGCTAGCAAAGGTCCCAATACACAGTGCCTTTTTGATTAGGGTATAATTCATCTCTCTTTGGAGACAGATAGCCCTGGGAGCCATGGTACCTGGACAGCATCACTGAATTCCTATAGGAAGTAGTAGGTTAGTTCTGACAGCTGAGACTAGGTTCTGGGAGGCAGAGCGGGAGTGGAACCCAAAGGTCTAGAAGATGAGTCTGGGTGGAAGGGGTTCCTTGATTCCCATTCCTACTTTGATTCCAGCTGGCCGAAGGATGGCATGGGTAATAGCTGTGGGGAGAACAGTGCTGAAGGGGAAAGATGAGGATAGCTGCCTTCCTCACCATGGGCTAGTAGCTCTGCTAGTGCCTTTCTGTGCATAGGCACCTGCCCACAGGAGGACCCCCAATTCCAATTCTCAAGATAGGTGAGGTGCTTTTCTCAACTCTCTGTCTGCCCCCCTAGGATAGGCTGTAGGAGCTGGAAACTGCTCCACATGGTCTATTGGGTGCTGACCATGACCAGGGCAAAGGCGATGGGACTCTTCAACTGGTGCATGCTGGGTCTGCCCTTCCAGAGCTGTAACTCAGTTGCCTTCTTTTTTCTAGAAGTATAGTGGACACTTCTGTACACTGGCTAGCTCTGGAGATCGGTTTGCCAAACAATGCTGAGACTAGTTTTATATGGCCATTGCAGGATGGCCTCTGCTTTCCCCCCCAAATATATCACCATTCTTAATTTCTCCCAGGATCTAGAAAGACTTGATCTTTTACCCTGGAGAGCTAACTTCCTGGGTGCTTGAGTCCTGAGAGCCTAACGTGATTGTCTTTGCTCAGATTTCTAACACCATTCCCTGTGTCTCTTTCCTAGATTTACTGGCTCCACATGGTCTATGCTGCTCTGGGGGCCATTTGCTTCACCCTGGTGAGTCCCTGGCTCTATGGAGATGGGAACTGAGGGGATGGAAATAGAATTTAGGCATCTTGGGAAGCAGGAACAGGGTTGTGGGTGGTTGTTCCTCTCCCCACTGTCAAAGAGGTTTCTGTGATTTTCTGAGCATCCTGCTGTCTCATTCATACTGCTGGCTGTTAAATTGCTCAGCAGGCTGTATCAGTCGGGCATGTGTCTGTGTCCTTTTAAAGATAGTGAACTGCTTGTGGGTAGAGACCATGTGTCATACTGTTCATTAATGAGTCTCCAAAGCACTCTTCATGGCACATAGGCTAACAGGACAACTCTGTTGAGCAGAAATGAGCTCTGGACACTGAGCCCCTGGTTGCTCACTTCTGGTTTCCCTGTCCCTGCAGTTCCTGGCTTATGATACACAGTTGGTCCTGGGGAATCGGAAACATACCATCAGCCCAGAGGACTACATCACAGGTGCCCTGCAGATCTACACAGACATTGTCTACATCTTCACCTTTGTGCTACAGTTGATGGGGGATCGCAACTGAGGACCACCCATTCCCCCCACCCTGGGCTTTCCCTTCCCTAGAAGGCTGGGCCTCAGATCCTTCCCCTCAAGTAATATGCCAGTTTCCTTTCTGTCCTGGGGATGGGTGGCCTCTCTGGCTGGATGTGTGGAAACCTGGAGGGCTAGAGGAGCTGAGAACTCTTGCCCTTGGTGGGCCTGGTAAGGACTAGGCTGAAGGTGTGTCCTGCCCTCTACATGGCACCGAACTCTTAGCAGCTATGTGGGTGGGTGTGTGAGAAGCCTATTCTATAGTAGAAAGGGAATATGAACATGGAAGGGGCTTCAAGGTGAAGAGATTCCCTTCCCACCTTTGCCACAGGCTCCTAGGCCAGGTAGCTGGTGCTGCTTCCCCTCCTAAACCCAAAAAAGCCAGACAGCTTTGTTACCAGCCCCTGGATTCATAGGCCACCATCCTGTACTCCTTAGGTTTGGCACCTCTTAGCTGGGGAAGGTAGAAGAGATCTGTGCCCAGGGGTCTTTATGCTCCACCGGCACCTTGTTTCAGTAATGTGTATATATTGTTTATCTGGGCTGGGATGGGGGAAGAAGAGTGAGCAAAGTAGAGGGCCCAACATACAGCAGTATCCACCCTGGGCTTCCTCTAGGCTTGGATGGTGGTGGAGAGAGTAGGTCACAGGAGCTACCTGGCACTTAAGAGGAAAACGTGATGGATGAAGGTCAGCAAATGGGGTAGTTTGTAGGCTCTCAAAGCATCCAGGGTGAGGAGACAATGGGGAGAGAGCAGGAAAAATGCCCGAGGGTCCACTACCTGATCTGAGAAATATTGAAGCCCACTGTGGTACCCAAGAAGACTTCTGTGTGCTTTTCTCTGCTAACCCAGGGAGGGCCCCAAGTGGAAGGTGACTTCCTTTCTCCATGTATTTTGAATTCCCTGTGTTGGTTCTTAGACTGGAGCCCCATCTCTCCTGCCAGCTACTGCTTTCTTTGTAATACAAATGCCTCAAGCTGGAATGGTGGGTGGGGGACAGGGTCATCTATTGGGTGGGGTGGAAACCACATCAGCCCAAGGACATTATTAGAATGTCTCTATTGAGTTCTTGACCTAAATATATCACACAAAGGGACATAAACTAGAAGTGTAATAAAGTCTTATGTTTGGAAGTTAAACCCTGTGTGGCTCTGGTTTTCTTCACTGGAAGGTGGTGGCTCTGCCACTGCATCCACTTCCTCCCTCTGTCTGAACTCTAGTGGATCTGTCTCTGGCACCTATTCCTAGGTAACCACGCCCATTTTATCATCCTCTTAAGAGTCATCATGCTTACTGTTTTTGTGTCATGGACCCTTTACAAAAGTTCTCAAGAGCTATTAACTTTTCCTCACAAAGCCGTGTGTATATCCACACTTCTATAGGTGGGGGAGGGGAACAACAACGGACTCAGAATCTATTACAAAATCTCTAGTCCAGTCTTTCACAAAGGAGGAAAGTGAGGCCCCCAAGAGGTTGTGACATTGTGCGTTTTGCTTCCACAACTTGCATGATGCCTTTGATTTTACTATTTGTTTCAAGGCTGAGTGGGACCCCACCCTGCTGGCCAGAAGCTCTGAGGGGTTGGTCCTCAGGGTCTGTGCCTAGGCTTGTTGCATTTAAGCCTGTGGTTGCCCCACCACCCAGCCAGGAACACAGCTCTTCTGTGAGAGGGAGCACATATGAGTAACCAGCTCCACCCACAGTACCTCCCCTCCCAGGGGACTTACAAACCCAGACCTGCTTCCTCTCCAGTCCAACACTCAATAACTTTATTTGCCTTTGGCTGGTTTCTCTGTATGGGAGGGGCAAGGGCTGGCAGCAGCTTGGGTTTCATACGCCCTCTGGTGGACCTCAGAGGCAAGGACCAGAACCTGCCAACTGGAAGACTTCACAGTTAAAATAGTCTAGGAGAGGGCTGCAGTGCTCCTCAGGCCTGTACGCCAGACCCAACTTCAGAGGACTGGGCATGTTGGGAGGAGGCCCTGAATCTCTGGCTCTCATACTCGCCCGTGTTGGACGCCCGCATGTTCTGCCGAGCCTTCATCTGCTTCAAACGGTCCTTGTCCACTTCCCGCTTGGTGAGGATGAAGAGGAGGATACCACAGGGGAAGCCGATGGCCCTAGGGGTGGGGAGATGTGCACCGGGTTTGGGCAGGGGCTGAGCCTGAGCCAGAGGAACTGGGGTGGATCAGTCCAGCTTTGTCAATTGCATGAATTCTGTGAAACCTCTTGTGTCTACTAATCCTCCAGGCTGGTTGCTAGAGGAACCCACGCAAATCAGGTCCTTTTGCTACCTGCTTAAGACCCCATAACAGCTCTCCATCACTTCCTACCCAAGTCCAAATTCTTAGGCATGGCACAAAGGCTCAGTGTGGTTCTGCTGAGTACCTGTGCATAATTCTCTAGGCAGCCCAGCCTCTTTCCTTTGGAGACTTAACAAAGGTCCCCTCTGTCTAAAGGGCCCCTCATCCCTTCCCAGATTCGACTCCTCTCTCTCTTTCTGCTGTGGATTGAACCCAGGGCTTCAAGCATGCTAAGCATGTGTTCTACCAATGAGCTACACCACCAGCCCCTCTCTTTCTTAATCTGAGTAACAGCTACTAAGGGGTGCTTTGGTGTGGGACAAAGAGCACAGTCACAAGACCTGGTGAGAATCTCAGCTGAGCCTCAATTCCAGCCTCTCTGTGGAATGGGGGTGTATTAGTTATCCCAGAAAGATTAAAATATTACATGGCAAAGTATTGTTACATATCAGGTGTGCTGAAAAAATGTTAATTTCTCTTTTACTTCAATATTGATCAGTAATATGTATTAAGGTCAGAATAACAGTCAATAACAATGTACAGAACAACTTGTAACTACTGTACAATTAACATAATCTACATGATCTCAGTTAATTAATTACTGGGGCTTGGGTCTCACTCTAAGCTCTCAAAAGAGAGGATGAGGCCAGGGACTCAAATGGGAATCACATCAGTTCAGCTTACTCTACAAAAAAACCCACTGACCTCCTTCCCCCCCTCCAATTCACAAACTTTCCCACCTCTCCTGTCCCACTCCTCTGAGATTCCATTTGTGGAACCCAGCAATCCTGTTCCGTTGGATTCAGCTCACCACCTGAAACGTAGACAAGTTTCCAGGTCTTGCCCTCCCCTGGATGCACTTCCCATTGGTTGACAAAGGGGTAGTTAAAACTCACCAGGCTAATCCCACAGCTTTCATGGGGTTCTTCCCCCTCTTTCTGGGAATGTATTCCAGCTCAGGGGATAGAGGCTCAGGTTCCTCCTTGCTGTGGCTCTGCAGTGCCCTGGTCCTGTTCTGGGAAGCCTTGTTAGCTGTGGCTCCTGAGAGGATCCCTGTGGGTGGAGGTAAGGAAGGTCAGTATGCGGGATGAGCAGAAAGCTGGTGGGGCAAGGGTGGGTACGGACTGGGGAGCAGCAGTTGAGATCTGAGGAAGGGGAGTGGTGACTTCAGTTTGGAGTAACAAGTGCTAGGAAGAATCCAAAGAGAAATGGGAAAGTCGCCATCGAGGTGACACCTTTGGAAGCCACTTCTACGTCACTGCGGGCTCATCACCCTCTTGCCAGGAGAGCAAGCTTCGCTGTTCATTTCAGACGACAGGATGGGAAGGACTGCAGAAGGGCTCACAAGACGTATGAAGGAAATCGGAAAAAGGTTTTAAAACTGCAGGATGTTAGCAGTGGAAAGGAGCTTACAGATCTCCATCCCCTCATTCTTTAGAAGAAACTGAAGCCCTGAAAGACAAACTGCTTCGCCCAAGGTCAAACTGATAATTACCCAGGGCTAGAACCCAAGCCTCCAGAAGCCCAGGGCTCTTTCCTCTGCACTGCGGTGTGAAATACCTGGAGCGCGGGAGTCTACACGCTTCCTTTGGGCCCCTTCTCGCAGCAAGACCCCAGGGATGTCGTCTAACTCAAAGGCTGGGAGTGGACTGGGTGACCTCTACAGAGCATCTTTTCGCCCCCAGACTCTTACAAACCTGCAGAGGGGTTTGAGCAGGTACTGACAGCTCTGACTTCCTGCTATGGTGGGGAGTGGTGTGAGAGAAAAGAGATCTCCTACAGTCCTGCCCTCCCCGGGTTCCCTCTCCTTACCCCGGAGGACGCGGGCATTTCTTGCCCCCCGGCCCTTCAGCGCCGTAGCAGCTACCACCGCCGCCATGTTCAGATCCCACCCCCCTTCACCGCGCTCCCCGCCGGGAATTGTAGTTTGCGTAAGGGGCCTCCCCCGCTCCTTCCGTCCTGCCTACAGACCGGAAACTACAACTCCCAGAAGCCTAAGCACTGGGCCCAGGAGGACTACTCTTCCCAGGAGAACCCGGAGGCGCGCACGCTCGCTTGTTTCCCTCCTGTTGGGGGAGGAGTCAGGTGGGGCGGAGCTTGGGCTCTCCCGCCACGCCCCGGTCCCTTCTCCCAACTTTGCCCTCTGATTGGCGAGTCAGTCAGACTAGCGCCATCGCTATTGGCCGGGCGGCTATCGCTCTTTCTGCCGGGGAGTCGCCTACGCCTACTTCCTCCCGGGAGGAGGGGCTCGAGTTCCGCGTCGTCGCGCAGAGCTGACTCTGGGAGGCGTTTGGGCCCAGAGAAGTGGATCGGCCGCTTGCGCCGCATGGAGTCCGAATCGGAAAGCGGGGCCGCCGCTGACACCCCCCCGCTGGAGACCCTAAGCTTCCATGGTGATGAAGAGATTATCGAAGTGGTAGAGCTGGATCCTGGCCCGCCGGACCCGGGTGAGAACGGCCGCTGCTCAGACCTGGACAGGAGGCACTCACCCCTGGCCTCTGACCCCTGCTTCTCCCCCTCCCCTCCATACTCCACCGCTCATTCCTACCGGCATTACTCCCCTGTCTTCCTCCCCTACCCCCACACTCAGTTTTCGGGCCTGGCGGGGTGGGGGTTCCCTGACGCCTCCCCTGGCCCTTCCCCTCACACACCCCCTTCCCATCATGCCCTCGGTCCTCGCTTCCACACGGCCGCCGGCCACCCCCAGGTCTTCAGCCCTTACCCCGGCATCTCCCCTTCCCTTCTCGCCCCACTGCACCCCATCTGTGCGAGTCCGCCTGCCCCTGGCCACATGACCCATCCCAGCCTCGGCCTCCCTACGCTTCTCCACATCCCTCTGAACTGAGTCTTCTGAGCTCCATCTTTTGACGCTCTCCTCAAAGCAGATGATCTGGCCCAGGAGATGGAAGATGTGGACTTTGAAGAAGAGGAAGAAGAGGAAGAGGGCAATGAGGAGGGCTGGGTCCTGGAACCCCAGGAAGGGGTGGTTGGCAGCATGGAGGGCCCTGATGATAGCGAGGTCACCTTTGCATTGCACTCAGGTAGGCCTCTGAGGAGAGCCACCTTAAGCCCTCCAGGGTGGGCATTCGAGCATTGCACTTTCACGGGTACAGAGCCTCATGGGAGATGGAGGTGGGAAAGCTGCTGGTCTTGTCCTGTTGGCAGGAGCTCATGGGTGGGGAGCAGTGTGGCCAAATGGATGAGGCTTGGCACTGGGGTCAGTGTGACAGTTGGTTCAAATCCTGCCTCTGCTGCTCACCAATTTGCCACCGTGTTAACCTTTCTGGGTCTTAGTTTTCTTTTTAAAAAGTTATCCTTGATGGGAGTTGCTGGGAGTAACCTGAGTGGAAATTATAGTTAATTTATACTTTTAAAAAAGTGCCTTTTTTTTTGTTTGGTTGATTTTTTTGGAGAAAGGGCCTTGCTGTGTAGTCTAGGCTGGCCTGGAACTCAGCAACCCTTTTGCCTCAGCCTCCCTAGTTCTGGGATTACAGGTATGTGTCACTACATCACAAAAATGTACTTTTTTGAGCGTATTTTATACAGTCTTCATAAGTAATAGCTCTTAATAAGACTCTAATAACATGAAAGTTTCCTCACTATTCACACCCAGCTTGGGGGTATCCTGAGAACTGTAAGCCCTGCACTTTGTAACCAGTCTTGTCTGTGATGGTAGAGTTGGGTGGTGAGGGGGACAGAAGATTAGGGGAATCTGTACTGGAGAGGGACTTGGAGATTGGCAGGCTTGGGGAAGGATTTTTTTCAATAACTTGCTGCTTGAAACATAGAAGAACTTGCTTGCACTCTTGTTTTCCAGGAGGAAAGGGGGTGGGTTTTACGAAGGTTCTGAGGGACAGAACTGTAGGTGGGAGCCCCTTCTCCTCACCTGTGGAATATCTCTTGGGACAGCATCTGTGTTTTGTGTGAGCCTGGATCCTAAGACCAACACCTTGGCAGTGACAGGGGGTGAAGATGACAAAGCCTTTGTGTGGCGGCTGAGCGATGGGGAGCTGCTCTTTGAGTGTGCAGGTGAGGGGGGTGTGTGCCTCTGGACATCTCAGGGGGTAGCCTGAAGTGTTTGAGGTTCTTGCAGCTGTTTATTGACCTGTTCTGTGCCAGCTCTGGGCTGAGCGTCAGGGACACAAAAAAGAGTAACATTGTTACTCTTTCAGGAGCAGGAGGTGGGAATGGGCTGTGGGAGTCTAGAAAGGCTGAGAGGAGGTGACACTGGAGTAGGAGTAAGTAGGTGGAGGGAAGGACATGGGGATTTCAGGCAGAGGCTCAGGGACAGACGGGTATGGCATAGGAGGCCTGCACTCTGGTCGGTTGAGTAGGGGGCCAAGAGTGTCTCTCCTGGGGAGACCTGGGAGTGTTGGTTCCTAGAGTTGCAGTGAGTTTAGTCAGCTATTCTACTGGGGCCTGCCTACCTCTTTTTTTCTTAGCTGGGCCTTTTAGGAGGCCAGGTACCTGGGTCATAAGTCCCCACCACTAGTTACCTTGTTGCTTTCTATTCTCTTCCCTGTGTTTTTATTTTTATATATATTTTTTGAGACAAGGTCTCACTATGTTACCCAGGCTGGCTTTGAACTCTTGGTCTGCCCACTTGTCTTTGTAGGCCATAAAGACTCTGTGACTTGTGCTGGTTTCAGTCATGACTCCACCCTAGTGGCCACAGGGGACATGAGTGGTCTCTTGAAAGTATGGCAGGTGGACACCAAGGAGGAGGTCTGGTCCTTTGAAGCAGGAGACCTGGAGGTGAGGTCTTCAGAGTGGGATTCAATCCTGACCTCAGGTAGGGGTAAGAGCTTTGGGGGGAGCAGTCCTACCTCTACCGGACAAGCCTACTCTGAGCCAATATACCCCAAGGTGTATCAAGAATGTCTGTACCTGTTACCTGGAAAGTTCCTGCTGACCCCATAAGCAGGGAAACTGTGGATGCGGCTCATGGGCGGCTCCTCATTGCTGACCCTTCCTCCCTGCCCAGTGGATGGAGTGGCACCCCCGGGCACCTGTCCTGCTGGCAGGCACGGCTGATGGCAACACCTGGATGTGGAAGGTCCCAAATGGTGACTGCAAGACTTTCCAGGGCCCCAACTGTCCAGCTACCTGTGGCCGTGTTCTCCCTGATGGTGAGAGCAGCTGCTTTGAGTTTCCTTCCTAGGTGCAAAGGTAGATCTAGGGTTCTCACCTCCCTGAGTCATGGCCAGCAGGCTCAGACCTGCTCTCAGACCCTAAGCCACTACCACCTCCTGCCTGATTCCCCTGGGGGAGTATGGGTACCTTCTGCTTTTCTTCCCATCCCCCTTCCCTGCTTGGTGTGTCTGAGTGTGCCCTCTGTCCTTTTGTCGTTGGTGCCTCTGGCCCTTAGGGAAGAGAGCTGTGGTAGGCTATGAAGATGGTACCATCAGGATTTGGGACCTGAAGCAGGGAAACCCCATCCATGTGTTGAAAGGTATTGCAGGTTGGGGAAGTGTTCATCTGGGATTTTAGGGAGGGGCCCGAGAACCATGTATAGGACTCAGAGCCTGTCGTGTCCTCCTGCTTCATCCTAGGGACTGAGGGTCACCAGGGCCCTCTGACCTGTGTTGCCACCAATCAGGATGGCAGCCTGATCCTAACTGGTTCTGTGGATTGCCAGGCCAAGCTGGTCAGTGCCACTACTGGCAAGGTGAGTGGACCTGGGCCTGGCTGGAGGCCTCCACTTGCCTGAGCCTCCTACCTCCTTCCCTCCCTCCCTCATTCCCTTCCTTTTTAGGGTGGTACTGGAGTTTGCACTCCGGGGCTCGCACTCATTAGATATGCACTCCACCACTCGAGCTACGCCCCCAGGCTTTTGCTTTAGGTATCTTTCACATAGGGACTTGAGTTTTTGCTCGTGCCAAACAAAAATGTGATCCTCTTATCTATGTCTCCCTCTTAACTGGGATCACAGGTATATGCCACCACACCTGGCTTGTTCGTTAAAATGGGATCTCACTAATTTTTTGCCCAGGCTAGCCTTGAACTGCAGAACTTCTGATCTCCACCTCTCAAGTAGCTGGAATTACACACTTGTGTCACCACATCTGGCCTGGCCTTTTTTCTTTCTTTTTTTTTTTTTTGGTGGATTTTTGAGACAGGGTCTCACGATGTAGTACAAGCTGACCTGGAACTCACTATGTAGCTCAGGCTGGCATTGAACTCTTGAAACTCTTGATCTTCCTACCTCAACCCTTTTTTTTTTTCTTGCGGTGCTTGGGATGAAACCCTCCATGCTAGGCAAGTGCTTTACCACTGAGTTACATCTCCAGCCTCACAGCTGTTTATTTCCCCCTTGCCTCCCATCCCTGATGCTTTTCCTCTCTGTCTGGGGACTGGGAGCCCAGATCTCCTTTGATTCTCTTCTCTCTCTCATTTTTTGGTGTGTGTGTGTGTGTTGTGTGTGTGTGTGTGTGTGTGTGTGTGTGTGTTGTGTGTGTGTGTGTGTGTGTGTGTGTGTGTGTGTGTGTGTGTGTGTGTGTGTGTGGGGTTCTGGGGTTTGAACATCTTGAAGCCACTCCACTAGCCCTTTTTCTGAGATAGGGTCTCGTGAACTACTTGCCTAGGCTGGCTTTGAACTGCCATCCTCCTGATCTCTGCTTCTGAGTAGGTAGGACTACAGGTGTGAACCACCGGCACCTGGCTGATCCTGTCCTCTTGCTGATAGGTGGTGGGTGTGTTCAGACCTGAGACTGTGGCCTCCCAGCCCAACCTGGGAGAAGGGGAGGAGAGTGAGTCCAACTCGGTGGAGTCCTTGGGCTTCTGCAGTGTGTGAGTGAGCCAGGGCCTTGGCCTAGAGATCGGAGAGGCTGGGGGAGGAAGAGGCTTGTGGGAGGGATCTGGCCTGGGGTACCAGGCAGGAGGGAAGTTGCTTGAGTCTAGGGCCTCACAAACCTTTCTAATGCTGCCTGTTGCCCAGGATGCCTCTGGCTGCTGTTGGCTACCTGGATGGAACCCTGGCCATCTATGACCTGTCCACGCAGACGCTCAGGCACCAGTGTCAGCACCAGGTAGGGCAGCAGTTGGGTTCCTAGTGAGCTATGGTTGTGGCAGAGGCCTGTGGCTGAAACCCAGGCTTCTGGGAGCATCTGTCCCACATCTTTCTCCTATTGAGTCCTTCTCTGTGACCGTCCCTCCCTGAGAGATCTTCTCTGATTTCTGCCCTGCCCCTGTCCTACAGTCAGGCATTGTGCAGCTGCTGTGGGAAGCCGGCACTGCTGTGGTTTACACCTGCAGCCTGGATGGCATTGTGCGCCTCTGGGATGCCCGGACTGGCCGCCTGCTCACTGACTACCGAGGCCACACGGCCGAGATCCTGGACTTTGCCCTCAGCAAGTAAGCAAAGTGGGCATTTGGAAGTGGGCCCAGAATGCGACAGCATGGTGTCTTTGGGTATGGAAGGGAATTCTTCAGGGTGGCAGAATTTCAAGGCCTGGTTGCAGCCTGTGAGACAGGAATACTGAGAAGTCTGAGTCTTCACAGCCCTGTGAGTCTTCACTTCTGATCTAGTCCCTTGTCATCGAGTAGATGTCTAGGATCTCCAGTGTTGGGCTTCCCACTTCTAACCCCCATGCTTGTTGCATGGATGTGCCCGCACAGCATTAGGCACTAGGGACCTAGAATTGAAGGAGTGCTAGAGGGGCTGCCCTGTGTCCCCTGGGGAATGGGGTGGGCCCCAGGTTTTTCAGTCCCTTTGACCCTGTGCTTTCTGTCCGCAGAGATGCTTCCCTGGTGGTGACCACATCAGGAGACCACAGAGCGAAAGTGTTTTGTGTCCAGAGACCTGACCGTTAATGGCTGCAGCCTCTGGCTGGGTGTCTGGTGTTGAGGGGGATGAATGGAGGACTCCTCTCCCCCCCACCAGCAGAGGCACAGGGTACAGAGGAGAGAGGGGAGGGGGCTTGGACGACTTTCCAACCCCTTTGATTGACTTGCCCCCATCTCTGTCCTTTCTTCTCTTGAGACCTGCCCTCATCCTGGGGCCTCCTTCCCTTCCTCCCTCCCCATCGCCCAGCTGTCAGGGCCCTTCAGAGGGAGGGCAGACCTCTTTTCTTTCACTTTCCTTTGCTGGTGTGAGCCATGGGGTGCGTATTTGTATGTGGGGAGTAGGTCTTTGAGGTTCCCATTCTTTCCCTTCCCAAGTCTCTGGGGGTGGAAAGGAGGAAGAGATACTAGTTACAGATTTTAAAAATGTAAATAAAATATACTTCCCAGAGGCAGTGTCTGTGTGGATTTTGTGGCGGCTGGACACAAGGAGGAACTAGCGAAGGCCATGTCAGGGTGAGGCTCTCTCACACTGCCGGATGTCGAGATGCATCAGTCTACTGTCTCAAGCAGTGCTTGTTCCTGCTGACAATGACTTGCTTCTTTGGAGGTGGAATCTCCTTTGGTACGCAGTTTGTCTTTAGGTTCTTTCCACGGGCTTCCACCTGCTTCCTTTCCTGAGATATAGACTAAACTGCAAACGGCCAGAGGAGCTTTATTTGGTCAGGGTGGGCTCAAATAGGGGCAGGGTCTCTGATCCAGAGAAGCAGGGCATGTGGAAACAGCTTGGTGGCTAAGATAGATGGACGCTTCTTGGAGTCAGCAGTGGCCCTTCTTCTAGTTCAAGTCCAGGTCACCATTACTTTGGCTGTTGGTGTGGTAGGCAGTGCTAGGGCCAGGACTGTCCCTGGAGGCTATTCCTCGCAGCACCCGCAGCCATCTTTGGGCAGCTGCCCTCCATGGGGCCATGTAACGTTGATCACCTAGACCCATAGCCACAGGCACAACCGCTGCACTGGCACTGCCTAATGAGATGAGGGACAACAGAGTTCCAGGCCCAAGTGGTGGACGCTGCTCATAGGCCAGGACTGATAGGAGCACTGTGGCCACGTAGGGCCCCCAACACAGCACGAAGAGCAACGTGGCTCCAGCCTGTGCCCTGGCCTGTCTCCAGGTAAGGGCCCGGGCCAGGGTGGAAGGCGCATCACGGCACACTGCCCGCTCCAGCCGGCATATGTCCTGCAGCTGGCGGTGGGCGGTAACCAACACTCGGGCAGAGAGAAGAGTGGCAGCCCCCACAGCGGGCAGCAGGAGGCCATAAACTTCGAGGTAGAGGTAGGGGGCTGGTATGACAGTCTGGGAGCTGCAGTTGGCAGTAGGGCTCCAGTGATTCCACCCCAGGGCGGGCAGGCTGGCAAAGAGCAGGGGGCTGGCCCAGGTGAGGAGCAGGGCCAGCCGTGTGCTCCCGTGGGGCCGGAGTGGCCACAGTACTGCCACGTAGCGCTCCCCGTGCACCAGCAGCAAATTGGCGAGCAGAGAAAGGAAGGAGAAGTTGGGAGCCAAGTAGAGGAAGAGGCAGGACCAGTAGCCCCGGCGGCTCTGGCGCCACAGCACCGGCAGCATGGGCAGTGCCAGTCCTGTGAGTAGCCCGGCCAGCAGCAGGCTCAGGAAGAAGCAGCCAGCAGGTGGGCTACGCAGATGGCGGTCCCGGGCGATACCCAGGGCCAGGAGTAGGTTGGCAGCAACAATGAGGCTTGCCAGGGCCAGGGAGAGCCCCACGGTCCCCACGGGAATGAGGCTGGACACCTCCCCGGTGCTGTTGGGTGTCATCTTGAGCCTTGGGCTGGGGGAGGCTTGGAGCTGCAGCTGGCATGCCTGGATGGAGTGGGGTGGCCAAGGTTAGTATGGGGCCGTGGGCCACTGTACTGACCGACCACGCATTAATCCAGAGGTTGCAGACCCACGGATTTTGGGCCATAGCCTGTGTGCTGATACATACATATGTTTTTCCAATTAGTTGCCCATTAAAAAGTTATCCGAAGTCATAGTTTTGGTTTCTCTTGGAAAATAAGGTCTGGCAACCCAACATGTTCTATATGGTAGCTAAGCCGTGGCTGTTCCCCAACAGGCAGCTTCACTATTCCTGTCTGCCTGGCCTCTGGGTAGCTGTGTTTATGCCTGTTTTTTTGACTGAAAGGTGAACCCACCCAAAGAATCTTGTTTACCCCTGCCGCAGCTGGCGAGGTCTCATTCAATGAGTCAAAAGAGAGGACAGGGTCTGGCTGGTGTGGTCTCCCCAGCCAGACATCAGGTGAGAGGCTCCCACACTTGGAGCACAAGCAGGGTGTCTTATGCCTGCACCCCTACCCCCTCCACACTTGGAGCCTTTACAGCTCAGTGAACAGCCTCCGGGTAGGACTTCCAGCCCATAAACTTGACTCGTCCGTTCCACACTGGCAACAGGCCCTTCCTGGGAACTAGAGGGAATAGAGGGAAGGGGGTTGGGGGTAGAGAATGATGCTTGGCAGTGAACTGGGGATACCAGCAGCAAGGAAGGGACCCCCATACTTCTAGGCACTGAGGTTGGGTCCAGAGGACAGGGAGGAGTTGCTGGTAGGCAGGGCCTGGTCTCTGGCTCTGATCTTCCTGTTCCCTTCACTTGGTTCCCTGGTCTCAGCCCCAAAGTCACATGCTGGTGTCAGGGGGAGGGGTCCTGGTTCTTGTGGGAGCTACTGCCTCTGTCAACAGGGGAGCAGCTGCTGTTGCTAGGATCAGAGTCAATAAGGAAGATATTCTTCCTTCCCCTCCCTGGGTCAGAGGATCAGCTCACTCTGAGTGAGGGGAGATGCTCCCCTTTCCTCCAATGCTACCCTTAGGACCCTGCCTCTTTTCTCCTCCCCTCAGCCCATTTCCTGTTCCTCAAATCTCCCCGAGGGCCTTCTACCCAGGACATCTTCCCCTTTCAGCAGCCCCAAGTTTGTCTTCTCCCTTCCTTCCTGTCACCAACTTTGTTAAGCCCCACAAGACTTAAGTCTGTTATCCCAAACCTGGTCTGAGCTGGGGATTCCTAATCCTACCCTGGAGTGGGTCCCCCACCCCTCTCTCAGAGTAGCAAAAAAAAAAAAAAAGGCAGGGATCAGCTCCCACGGGTGATATCCTGATGGTGCGAGCCAAGTCACCCAAACACTCTGGTGTCTTGAACCAGTGTAGTGAGCTCTTCAGGATCTGGGTCCAAGATCTCCACAGCAGGCTGGGAGGAAAGGGAAAGCAGAGTAGCTAGCTACTCACATGGTTGTTGGGGACAGGTGTCAGCCCAGGTTCCTCTGAATGTCAGGGAGTCACAGCAGTCAGGCTTGTAGGGCTTCAGACCATGTCTGGTGTCCTGTCAGGTGAGTGCATGGTGCTTCACTCTGGGAACAGCAGGGCTCGCCTGCTCAGGCTCTGCCCCAGCCTGGGTTCCCAGAGGGATGGAGGAGCCAGGCTGGTGGGGCTCAGCCCTGGCTCCGCCTCTAGGGGTGGGGCCGGCACATCCTGAGCTGTAGATGCTGAGAAGGCCTCCTTATCCTCCTGTATTAGTGACTCCTTTCCCAGCTGCCAGCCACACTGAGCCACCTAGGTGATGGTTCCCTTACCTCTGGAAGTCTGCTCACCTGCCACTGCCCAGCTAATCTGGGAAAAGCATTTTGGTTAATGAATGAAAATGATTGACTCTACCCCTCCAACCTCAGCTAATACAGTCAAATTTTATGAACCTTAAACCCTGGAGTGAGCTGGCTCATGCCTATAATCCTAGCTACTCGGGAGGCAGAGATCAGGAGGATCGAGGTTCAAAGCCAGTCCAGGGAAATTGTTTGTGAGACCCTATCTCAAAAATACCCAACACAAAAAAAGGGCTGGTGGAGTGGCTCGAGTGGTAGAGCATGTGCCTAGCGAGTGAGAAGTCCTGAGTTCACACCCCAGTGCCACCAAAAAAAAAAAAGCCAGGTGTGCTGATGGCTCATGCCTGTAATCCTAGTTTTTCAGGAGGCAGAGATCAGGATTGCAGTTTGAAGGCAGCCCTGGAAAATAGTTCGAGAGACCCTATCTCGAAAATACCTATCACCAAAAAAGGGCTGGTGGAGTGGCTCAAGGTGTAGGCCCTGAGTTCAAATCCCACTACCGCAAATAAATAAATAAATAAATAAAAATAAGATGATGGCAGTGGTCGGGGACCTGAGCACTGATCTTCCCTGTCTTATCCCTCTCCTGATGGGCCTTTCAGCTTATAAGGGCAGCCTTGCCTTGGATGTGGGGGTCGTGTGCACTTTTCTCAACTGGTTTCTGAGTCAAGGTACAAATGGTTGAGGATGTGACCTTTGCTAGCTACTATACTGTTGGGTCTGTTTTCCCACCTCTTGGGGTGGTGATGATGGGGACTATCATGGGACACACAGGCAACTGTGGATACTGCAGTGGTGGGAATTAATGAAGTAAGGTCATCTCAACAAATGACTCCCTCCTCCCTCCGGTGTTGGAAAGACAGCTGTGTGAACTTGGGCAACTTGCTACAGTTCTCTTGCTTTAGTTTCCTCATCTGCAAAATGGAGCTGAAAATTGTACTGGCTACTATCGCAACTAAGTACCATGAATTAGATCAGCACATGGCACTCCATGAAAGATAGCTATTAGGATTGTTAGAATCATTAGAGATTCTGCCCTTTTCTGCAGCTGCCCCCCTCCAAGCAAAAACTGTTTGGGGACCTATGAAAGCA